AGTCACCTCCTGGTGCCAGGCACGGTGAACACCGTGGAAAAACCGCCCACAAGGGTTACCTCCCAACACTCTCCTGCCACCTGTCGGAAATGAAATGCAACCATAAATACCTTTTGCCCTCATAAGTAGAAACAAAATGAAGTTGGCCAGACCACCACGGCATTTGTCTGTCCTTCTACTCCTCCCATATTAACAGAGACTAAAAGTGATCCCAGCGAGGATTGTCTCCCTGTCCGTGTTTTAGTCTTCCAATATAGTGGACAATTGTGACAGCTCTGTTTGCTTCCTCCTGTCTCTTTAAAGGTGCGGCATTATAGAGAACATTGAATTGAATTTTGCAGAGGATCAATAATTATAGAATCTGCAGCATTCCACCTGTGCTCCACCGCAAATTTTATTATTCTAACATCTTGAATTAAAACGTGAGACCATATACAATATTTACCAATAGGAAACTTACTGGATACTCCTTAGATTTTTAGAGGTGACTGATTATGTAAAATCCAATGTGAGCCGTCAAATGTCTCAGTCCTAGACAGGGGGACCTCAGTTTACACAATATAAGCACTCAGTAGTTGCTATGCATCTAATGTTTGTAAAATAAAACTGAAGTTATCATATATAGATGAAGGGGCCACAGTCGTGTTTCTGAATTGCCAGCAGGACTTCCTCATTGCTGTCCACTGTCACTCCCAGGTGTTCTTCAAGGAGAAGAGACAGATCAGAAGATGTACCAAGAGAAGGCCCCACAGGTGATTCAGATATGAACACCTCCACCCCACCATGTTACCCCTAAACTCACATGTTTTGAACTTTACTCATTTAAAGTAGTGTTTCTCAACCAAGGGTGAGTTGATCTCCCAGGGAACATTTGGCAATGTCTGGAGACATTTTGATTGTCCGACCCTGGTGAAAGGATGGGGGCACTACTGTCATTCAGCAGATAGACAGCAGGAATGCTGTTAACCACATGCTCAGGGCAGATTTCCACCACAAAGAATTATCTGGCCAAAATGTCCATAGTTCTGAGATTGGGAAAGCCAATGTAAAGTAAGTAACTAAATTGGGGCGCCTGGGTGGCTTAGTCGGTGAAGTGCCCGACTTCAGCTCAGCTCATGATCTCACGGTAGGTGGGTCCAAGCCCTGTGTCAGGCTCTGTGCTGACAGCTTGGAGCCTGGAGCCTGTTTTGGATTCTGTGTCTCCCTCTCTCTTTTGCTCCTCCCCTGATAGCACTCCGTGTCTCTCTCTCAAAAATAAATAAACATTAAAAAAATTAAATAAAGTAACCTTAGATCAAGGCTTGGCACGCTATAGCCTACGGGCTGATGCTGGTCCTCTCCCTGTTTTTGTAAACAAAGGTTTTTAGAATTAGAACGCAGCCATGCGGATTCATTTACGTATCAGCTTTGATTGCTTTCGTGCTACAGTGGCACAGTTGAGTAGTTGTGCCAGAGGTTGCGTGACCAACGAAGCCTAAAATATGTACTATTTGTCCCTTTGCAAAAGAGCACAACAGCTTTTTGTAATACAACCATTTTAATTTTAATTTTTTCAAATAGATTTACACAATAATTATGTGATCACAAAAACAATAACACTCAATGAGGGCCCAGATGTAGGATCAGATCCTGGTTCTGCAGGGCCTGAACTGTATACAATTTTAGATGGCCTCTTCTAAAAAAAAAAGTGGTATAAATTATGTCTTTATTTACAACAAGATAATAAATCTCAACAAATTATTGCAGGGCTTTTCTTTTAATACGTATTTAATCGATTTTCCAGATTTGCTTGCATAAAAAAGCTTCCTGATTGTATTGCAGCTGATCCTGTCCCAAAACACTCTACATTTCAGTAGTCCCCAGCACCCACAGGGGCTAGTGCAACCCAAGGGGTCTTCCAGCCCCCAATTAGCTTCTCTGTATCTTTAACTCTGCACAAATATCCCCAGCATGATGTTTTTGTTCAATAATCAAGATCAATGAGCATCAGAAAATCTGGGCTTTAATTCCGGTTTTGCCATTCATTAACTATGTGACCTTGAGCAATTTAAGTATGACCTTGGGCAAGTGAATTCATCCCTCTGTGTCTCGGTTCCTTAAATGGTTATAATGTAAACTGTAGCTTTAAGTGACTACTCTCTATAAGCTTTGCTCAATTTTCTTTGATTTTAAAATTTTGGATGCTCTTGGAGTTGTCTTAGAAAGTTTTTATTATCTGTTATATTGCCATTTTCCCCCCTAGTTAAAAGAAAATTGGTGTCTTAAGACCAATATTCCTATTCAGTTCCAGCTCCATTCCAGTCCTAGACATTTAAATAGTTATGAATTGTCTGTCTATGAATCATTACTATTCCTTAGGGTTCCTCTCTTACAATTTGTTCAACCAAGCCTGCTCCATTGAAATGTGTTTTCTGCTTTGTTGCTTATTTTTCATGCTTAGAAATATTTTTGAAGCACTCCATATAAGAGGCACAAATAATTCAGCTATAAGAAGGTGGAGAAATTCCTTTTCTTTCTGAAAGTTTTTTTTTAAACATTCTAGTGACTATATATCTTGTCTTTCCCCCCCAAATTATCAGCAAATTATTAACTTTATTGTTTAGGTTTCAAATACGAATAATCTTCTCCACTGGCTTTCTTCACCCAAAATAGTTCTCTAGTGCACTTTAAATCAGAATCTAATTTTGGTTTGTGTGTTCAGCCCAAGAACTAAAGAATTACCACTTTGCGCTCACCAAGGATTTATACTGCCTGCAACGCTGCAGACATGGCACTTGTCAGAGTGGGGCAGGGGGAACATATGGCACTGATGGTGGATAGGAAGGTTGGGAAAGGTGGGGACAGGGATAATAGCCACCATTACCATCAACTTTCATGTTCATGATGTGTCCAGACTTTAGATTTCATTAAACAGGATGAACTTATCCCCTCCTATCCCTATGACTGTCCCCTCTTCCAAATTCATAACGTGAGGTTTTAGCCTCATCATAGATAAACATGACTGGTAAACTAAGTACCTTAGAAATAGTTGTTTATGTGGGTAAACTGAAGTGCAGATAATTTTAGTAACAGCTGATTATAAATGTCATTAAGCCTTAGAAACAAGATTCTAAAATTCCAGTTGAAACCTCTTTTTTAAAAAGTAATTTGTTTTCAAAATCAAAAACACAAGCAATAAGAAGTGTTGGTGAGGAGGGCACCTGGGTGGCTCAGTTGGTTGCGAGTCCGACTCTTGATTTCAGCTCAGGTCATGATCCCAGCATTGTGGGATTAAGCCCTGTGCTGGGCTCCACACTAAGCATGGAGCTTGCTTAAGATTCTCTCTCTCTCTTTCTCTGCCCCTCTCTCCTGCTCACACACTGTCTCTCTCACTCTAAAATAAATTTAAAAAACAAAGTGTTGGTGAGGATGCATAAAAAAGGGAACTTTGTGCACTGTTGGTAGGAATGCAAATTGATGCAGCCATTGTGGAAAACAGTTCCTCAAAAAATTAAAAATAGAAATACCATATGGCCCCGTTATTCCACTACTGGATATTTACCTGAACAAAATGAATACACTAATTTCAAAAGATATATTCACTCCTGTTTATTGAAACATTATTTATAATAGTCCAGATATAGAGTCGACCCAAGTGTATATCCATAAATGAATGGATAAAGAGATGATTCATATATATATCCATTTGTATCTATCTAATATTTATCTAATTATATATATACATATATGTGTATATCTCTCTCATATATATGTATATATGTAGAATATATATATATATATCCATATATATATGTAGAATAAGATCTTGCCATTTGCAACAACATGGATGAATCTAGAGGATATAATGCTGAGTGAAATATGTCAGTCAGAAAAATACAAATACCATTTTCAGTCATATGTGGAATTTAAGAAATAATACAAAGGAAAAAAGGGACAAACAAAAAAAACAGAAGTGTCTTAAATACAGAGAACAACCTGGTGTTTGCCAGAGGGGAGGTAGGTAGGGGGATAGGTGAAAAAATAAAGGGGATTAAGAGTACAATGATCATGATGAGCCCTGAATGATGTACAGAATTGTTGTATCATTATATTGTACACCTAAAACTAATATAATGCTGTAGGTTAATTGTGCTGGAATAAAAAATAATAACTTTTCACTGTAATCAAAGTAATAGAGCACATACAGTTGACCTTTGAACAAAGTGGGAATTAGCCAGCCCAACACCCCTTCAGTCAAAAGTCTTTGTTATTTCTTTTGCCTCCCACAAAACTTAACTACAAATAGCCTACTATTGACTGACAACCTTACTGATAATATATACAGTTGATTAACACCATTTTCTATGTTATCTGTGTTATATATTATATTCTTATATAAAGTAAGCTAGAGCAAAAAAAGGTTAAGAAAATCATAAGAGGAATATGTTTACAGTCCCATACTGTAAAAAATCCACATGTAAGTGGACCCACACAGTTTAAACCTGGGTGTTCAAGAGCCACCTGTACATACTTTGACACCTTGCCTGGGTCACCTGTACATACTTCGACACTTTGCTAGATGGAACTGACTTTCTTCTATCACCACACTCGATTGACAGCTTTGAATTCTAGGTTGAACATCATTCCCTTTTGAATGTTTAAGGTTGTGTTTTCTAGCTTTTGAATAGTTCGTTACTCTTTTTGATTAATGGTACTTGTTTTTAAACAATTTTTATTGTTCTGAAATCTTACACATCTATCATCAGTAACTTTTCATTATAATGTGAAAAAATTTCATTTGTTGTTTTCATGCATTGTGCTTGATACTTAGAAAACCGTGTAAATTTAGATAGTCATGTTCTTCAGGTCTAGAAAATGTTCCTGAATTATCCTTTGCATAAATTTCCTCCCATTCATTTTCTCCATTCTCTTTATGTAACCCCTATTAGTCAGATAATGAACATCCTGGGTTAATGGTTTGTTTTTTTTTTTTTCCTGTCATCCCTCTTACTGCTTTTTTTATTCTATTTTCTGAGAAATTTCTTCAACTTTATGTTTTAATTCTACCATGGCCTTCTCTCATTTTTTTAAAAAAATTTCTTTTTCAACGTTTTTATTTATTTTTGGGACAGAGAGAGACAGAGCATGAACGGGGGAGGGGCAGAGAGAGAGGGAGACACAGAATCGGAAACAGGCTCCAGGCTCTGAGCCATCAGCCCAGAGCCTGACGCGGGGCTCGAACTCACGGACCGCGAGATCGTGACCTGGCTGAAGTCGGACGCTTAACCGACTGCGCCACCCAGGCGCCCCTACCTTCTCTCATTTTTACAATCGGGTATTTTCTTTTCAAGAATTCTTACCTATGCTCTGATAGTTTGCTTTTTCCTTAGCATCCTGTTTTTGTTTCATGGCTTTAGGAGTAAACAAGTTTTTAACCAAGCCTATATATCCACCATGCTTCATATCATGGAGATGACAGTCCTGTATCCAGTCCCTGGCCATAGACAGGCATACCTCATTTTATTGCCCTTTGCTTTATTGTGCTTTGCAGATGCTGCTCTGTTTGTTTGTTTGTTTGTTTACAAATGAAAGGTTTGTGGCAACCCCGCATCCAGTAGGTCCATTGGCACAATTTTCCCAACAGCATTTTCTCACTTTGTGCCTCTGTGTCAGTTTGGTAACTCTTGCCACATTTCAAAATTTTTCATTATTATTATAGTTGTGGTAATCTTTGATCAGCTATTATGACACACTGAAAGCTCAGATGATGGCTTCCATTTTTTCTATGTACATCTGTTTTAGACATAATGCTGTTGCACACTTAACAGACTACAGTATAGTATGAACTTAACTATTATATGCACAGGGAAGTAAAAAATTCATTTGACTTGCTTTATTGCGATATTTGCCTTCTTATGGTGGTCTGGAACTGAACCTGCAATAACTCTGAGGTATGCCTGTACATTCAAGGGCAATGAGGTTGTACGAGATAAAGTCCCAGGAACAAAATACATTAAAAAATCAATTTATAGAGGCAGATCTGTCAGGATGACAAGAGAATTGAGATATGTAAGCTAGCGCAGTCTTTCCCAGTATCAAGATTCTTAGAAATGTTATCTTTCAGTTTGATAAGCATGGAATGTTTGAACAAATGAGTTGGATGGCATGAAATAATAATTTTATTTACTCATGAAAATATTAAAATATGTCGTTATTTTCTATTTCTGGACTTGTTCTAGCCATATTGACCTACTTTCCTGCTCTACTGTCATGCTTGAAAACAGCCACATTGGCAGAACAGAACCTAACTGGGCTTTAGAATGACCTGAGAAACTAATTAAAAAAAAAAAAAAAGCAAAAATATATATACGTGTGTGTGTGCATGCATGTGTGTGTGTGTGTGTGTGTGTGTGTGTGTGTATGTGTGTTGTGTGTTGTGTGTATCCATATCAAGGCCAAACCCAAGACCTGATCACATTCTTTAGGAATTGGTATACCAGCATCTGTTTCAAGCACATCCCTCTGATTCCATTTACATGATAACTGAAGATCCCTGAATTGAGTGCTCAGACTAGTCTCCATATAGTCCGAGAGTCAGGTATAAGATTTTGCCTCAAAGTCGGGTCCCCTGGGAGTCATTGTTTTTTTTTTCTTTCGGTCTCTGAACCTACTTAACTCTGAGCTACCAATCAGACTGACTTTATCATCAGATAGAGATGGATTTTCACCCCTTTCCTGCCGAAATACATGATCTTGGCTAAATTATTTAACCTCTGAGAACCTGAGAAATGTATAGGGAAGAATAAGCACCAATATGGCCCAAAATATGCCTATTATGTGGTAGAGTCTCAAAAAAATGTCTGGCTTCTTCCCTCTTTTGATAGCAGTTTGGATGAGTGCTTCCTGTTGAGGTAGGAGACTGTAAACCCACTGATAATTCATCTCCAGCTACTCGATCTGATAGCTTGTCCTCTGTAGATCTCTTGGACAAGTGAGTCTCATCCAGGGGGTGTGGATCTTCCCTAGATTCTGTCCCAGACAGCGGCACTTCCTTATCTGAGTGCCTTATCCTTTTCCTGACTTTGTGACTTCCTGACCCTGTTCATCTTGAGAGGCAGCCTCCGTAGAAAGAAAATAGCAAATCTCACCTCCTAACTGCATAACCTGGGAGGTTTCACAGAGACAATTCTGGACTTTAGAATATAAAAGTTTCTTTTTGAAAGGAGTTTTCTTTCTCTTAGTGCATTTTATTCCTGCTACTTGTCATCTATATAACATGGGTATTTTGAAAATATACATTATGAGATCATTGGCTTAATGTCTACCTGCTCTTCTGAACTCAGCCCCGTGTCCATTTTGCCCACCACCATACCCCCAGCACACCTTGTGCACTGCTCATCACCAAGTAGAATCTCAGAGTATACGTGTTTTGTGAATGAATGACCAAAAGAATAATACAGAGATAAAACCACCTGCCTTTTCTGCTTCATATGGTAATTATACTGATCTAATGAGATAAAGTACATGCAAATGATTTTTAGGTTATGTGTTAGACTACAAGTGTAAAATACCTTAATTTTGTTAACCTATACTTCTCTGCAGTGTGTTCACAAAAAGCATCAAGCCTACAGCAGTGCTACTCAAAGTGTGTTCCAAACTCCAGCAGCAACAGCAGCATCTGAGAATTTGTGCACTGGTAATAAAGTGCACATTTATAGACCCTAAGACCTATAAAATCAGAACCCCTAAAAGTACAGCTCAGGAATCTGTATTTTAACAAGCCTGTAGGAGGTGATTCAGATATGGGCTAAAGTTTAAGTGTTACCATCCTAGTAGTGTAAAATAATAATCCTTTATTTTTAAGATTTTTTCTTTTTTTTCTTTTTTTTAAATTAAGTTGCTTTAGTTATTTTGAGAGAGAGAGAGAGAGAGAGAGAGCAGAGGAGGGACAGAGAGAGAGGGAGAGAGAGAGAATCCCAAGCAGGCTCCACACTGTCAGTGCAGGGCCCATCACAGGGCTCAATCCCACAACCCTAGGATCGTGACCTGAGCCTAAATCAAGAGTCTGATGCTCAACTGACTGAGTCACCCAGGCGTCCCTGTACAGTAGTAATTCTTGAAAGACTTTTTAGAATTGCATAAAGTAAACTTAGGATTTATCTTTAAAACTATTCTTTTATTCACCTAAGGAATTTCTCTGGATCTCAGACTCTGATCATTTAGGTCTCAGAAAGGCCAAAACTTCAGAAAAACACTCAGTCTCAACATTACTGCCTTGTTTATTAACTTCATAGGTCATAATTTATAGTTGCTTCATTATTTTTGCTCTATTTATTTGGTTTTTCGTCTACCCCCGCCCCAGAGATAAATGTTCTACAAGAGAGGATACAGTTTGTCTTAACCAACAGCTGTATCTATCCCCAGTTTTCACACAGTGTTTTGGTGCATAATAGAGTTTAGTGAAAACTTCATTGAATGGATATCTTTAAGAATGTATTTATTGGCCAAGAGTGTGTGTTGAAGAAGTATAGCATTCATGTTAAGGGTCATGCTTTGGATCCTACTAAAATTTGTGCCTGCTTCCATTTTCCTGAGTATCAATACAGATTTGATGGATTCTAAAATTCTCCAAATTTTCCTTTTCCTTTTTCCTTTATAAAAGAAGTTGAGGGGCATCTGAGTGGCTTAGTCAATTGAGTGTCTGAATCTTGTTCTTGGCTCAGGTCATGATAACACAGCTTTGTGGGTTCAAGCCCTGCATTGGGCTCTGTGCTGACAGCCCTACTTAGGATTTTCTCTCTCCCTCTTTCTCTGCTCCTCTTCCACTTGCACTGTCTCTCTCTCAAAATAAATAAATAAACTTAAAAAAAAGAAGTTGAGACTTCATCCAGTAGAATGACACCCATGTCCATTTGCCAATGTCATTCAATCATTTTTGCAATAATTTGGAGGTTTCTCAATATAGTGTTTTCAATGAAGTTAATTCTTGGTTATCTGTGGGTAAATTATTTTTCACAAACTTTCCTTTAAGTTCTTGATAAAATTGTATGGGTTTACTGTGTACTTCCAAGAAGTATTCCAAGAAGAATTCAGTCCAAGAATTCATTCTAGTAGGGTGTCCTTTTAAGCAAATAATCACCTCTCCTAGAAAAAGAAATATGTGCATTATTAATAGAGCAAGTCTCCTCAGACTGGGATCGGAAGAGAGACTGCCTTTTGACATTTCCTTAGCTGGTAATTAGGGAAAATTCTGAGCATTTGGGGTAACCAGAAAAGACACTATGTTTCTCGTTTTTCTGATTTACTTCTTTTTCCAGTGCAAGATGATTATATAAAAAGAATTAGGCTCTAAATAGTCAATAAATCTACCCTCCACTTGGAGTAGTTTTTAAAAAATGTTCACCACTGTATTACAGATACACAGCTCTGTTCCATTATTCCGGCAAGTCAAGGGAAGACATTTAATATAAAACTATGTTTGGAATATTACCAAAACAAGGAGCTTTATCTTATATTTAAGAACTATCCAGTTAGGAGGACAAAAATAATTTTCTAAGAAACCTTAAAAAATTATCTTCCAAGGGAAGGAAATTGTCTTCCAGAGCCCTTCCTCTCCTACAACCAGAATGCCAACCAATGAACTGTTTTTCCAGCTGCAGAAACCACCTCTTTGTATTTAGCCTGCTTCCTTTCCCCTCTTTCTAGGCTACTGTCACCTAATCTTTGCAGGTCTGTTCTCCCCAAGATGGACCATGATGTGCTCAACACCTCCTTAGGCAGGCACGAGACATTTCAGAGTGAAGGTTTTAGCTGCTTTCATTTAAAAGAAAAAGCAACCTAGAATATCAAAAGTAACATAGAGGAGTTAGGGCATGACTTAGAACTCTTGGTCCCTGGTCTGTCATTCATCAAACTTAGCCCCCTTCTTTTTTTAACAGAGGATTTGAATATCTTCTTCCAACATGGTTCCAATTCCAGCCTAAGGAGGAAACCTGAAGGATTTACCTTAATGAATAAATCACATTTCTGACAACCTTTGACTGGATTTCATTTATCTTAATAGATCTCTGCCCCACATAGAGATGATCCCTTTCAGGGCATCTCTTGGCATGCTCTATGAAGTATATGTTATCCTAATTTTTATAAGAAATGAAACAGCAAGGATTTTAAAAGCTTAACTGTATTGACCAAAGGCATACAGCCAGTTATTTAAAGGAGGATGCGTTTGAACAAGAGGTGCCATATTGTAAAACTCCAGGGGAGAGGAATCACATCATAGTCTACATGAAAGGTACCCATGGAGTGGGGCAGTGGCAGCCTGCAGAGCTATGTATTGCGCATGATTGCACCTTGAGGCTTTACCATACCGTGCTGCTTCATGCTACCTTAAGGCAATGCACTTGAAAGTTTTGTACCATAGAGATGACCACGAATGAAAAGAAAAAAGAACGAACAACATTTACTTATGTATTTATTTATGTATAATTAATAGACTTTATTTTTTTTAGAGTAGTTTTAGGTTCACAGCAAAATTGAGTAGAAAC